TTTGTTTGTTTGTTTCTCTCTCTCTCTCTCTTTCTAATCTAGTAGTCACTTTTGGACTTGGCTAAAGCATTTGATACCCTATCACATCACATCTTAATTTCCAAACTACAATACTATGGAATTAATGGAATAAGTCTAGAGTTATTTATATAATATTTACACGATAAAATGCAATGTTGTGTAGTTGAAAACTCTGAGTTTCAGCCTAAGTCTATATCCTGTGGTGTTCCACAAGGGTCAATATTAGAACCACTACTGTTTATACTGTACATTAGCTAAAGTGGGATAAACTACAAGAAAGATGAGACCAAAGACTGTGTTTTATTGATGTTTGACATTCTGTATAATAATTATCCTTCATATTTAAGTAAAGTATTTAATATGAGGTCCTCAGACTCAAATGCCTATAAATCTAAATTATTTGGAAAGAATGATCAAATTGAAATGCAACATTTTCCAAAAACAGATTTTTTTAGAAGGAATTTGTTTAAAAAAAGACTGGCAAGTTGGCGTGCTGTCAGCACTCAGTAAGTTCTCCTATCACACCCATTATTTAACAGTTATGTTAATTTTTTAAGATTCTAAACTTATTTAATTTTTATGATTTTTTATAATAGTTATCAATCATTTATATCTTTTTACAACGACTTCCACTATTCCACTATTTGCAGTAAACTTGATTAATAGCATTTGCTTCTGATTTTACCCACAGAAATGGAAAGATTTCTGTGCTGCAATGAGGAAGGCATGTCCAGATGAAAGTGACCATGGTGGAATTGAAAAGTTTTTATGTCATATTTTAAAAATTGATTTTGGTAAGTTGAGATAATATGTTAAATAAAACATCAGCTTCTTTTAGAAATATCCATACATCACGTTTGTGGAAGGAGAAGGGGTAGGAAGGGTTTTAATACCGCCCACCCCCCCCCCAAAAAAACTTAATCTGTTTCAGGGTTTGATCTGTAAGTTAGCAATGCCCTGACTTAGATCAGCCCAGAGGTTGTTTCAGGGTTCGATCTGTGAGTTAGCCGTGCCCTGACTTAGATCAGCGCAGAGGTTGTTTCAGGATTCAATCTGTGAGTTAGCTGTGCCCTGACTTTGATCAGCCCAGAGGTTGTTTTAGGATTCAATCTGTGAGTTAGCCGTGCCCTGACTTAGATCAGCCCAGAGGTTGTTTCAGGGTTTGATCTGTGAGTTAGCCATGCCCTGACTTAGATCAGCCCA